CCCCCCCCCCCCCACTTCCCCTCCCCGCCCGCCCGCTCCGCGCGCCGTCTCCTCCGCGCCCAGTACAGGAAATCGCTCGGGTGCCCGGGAGTGAAATCTTGCCTCCCGTGTTTTAATCACACAACACGGATTTACTCTCGCCTCGCCGTTCCACAAGCAGACGGCAGGTCTTTTCCATCCCGCCCCCCAGGTCCCCTCCTCACCTCCCTGAACCCACACACGCCGGTGACAGCCTGGGGCGCGCCCGAGGAAGTGCTCGAGCGGCCACGGTGGCTCTTGCCTGGCCCAGCTCCCTTCTCCCTCCTGCCTACGCATCCTCCATGTCCAGCCTCGACCAGCTCCGTCCCCTCTTCTCATCAGTTCATCTGTCACAGCCCAGCCTACCTCGGTTTCTCCGGAAACATCATCTTCCCGGGCGCCGCCATGTTGTCAGGGCAGCCACGCCCCTACGAGCTGGCCGGAAGAGGCCGGCTGACAAGAAAGGGAGCGGCCGCGCGCAGGCGCGGGTACCGCGGGGCGTCCCGGGGGGAACAAAGACGCATGGCGCGTGGGGGTTCTGATAGGCTGCTGGTGTTCTGAAACCGCACAAGTGAACGTCTCCTTCCCGAAAATTCCTACCCCTCCCTGAAAGTAATTCTTCCCTCCTAGCGTTTCCCCGGGAATATCACTACCTCTACCCACACCATACTGGTGTGTCTTGTGGCTAGGACGTTAAAGTTACACTTGTCTCTCTTGTCCTCATCGTCACACGAAACCTCGTTCCAGGTACACTGTATCGCCTAGCTTCCCAGTCCGACTTTCAGACACCGCCTTCTTCTGCGGTCCCACCTATCAGTCCCTCAGACGAAGCGCCAGATTCCGCCCTCTGCCATTCACACCTGCCACCTCTGTAGGGAAAAGCAACACCTGGGCCGCCAAGGCGTCATCTTTGCTCCCAAGGAATGTGCACTCTAGAGACGAAGAAGGACCAAATACAAAGATAATATGGTACTGGCAACTGAATTTACTTAACACAGTCCACTTGGGATTCAGGGAGGACTTTATGATGCCTGAGTTTTAAAGGAAGGTGGCCTTTACCCAGGGGGAGAAGGGTGGGATCCCCAGGTGGGAAAGCTAAATCAGTATAAGCAAAACCACTGACGGATGAAACAATGTGGAATCTGCCAGACCCGCAAGAATTTTGGCCATCGAATTTAAAGGCAAGTTCCAAAATATCAAGGAACACAGCAGTAGAGGTGGGGTGGAGCTGGGTTATGAAGAAGGGCCTAGTAAACCATGCAGAGAAGCTTTAATTAAGTCCTCTACGCAACAGGGAAGTACTGAAAGCTTTTTCGTTGAGTTTTGTCGTCATTTGTGTTTTAGGTAAATTACTCTGGTTTGCAATACAAAGGATAACGCTGGAATATCACAGTCTAGATGAGGAATTAAACTGGGGCAATGAGGGTAGGATTGAGAAAGTAAAATCAGCCCTGTTAATAATCAGACTGTGATGTATACAGACAAGGCCAGAGACAAGACCAAGAAGAAAATGCTTCTCTTGAGGACATACTGCAGCGGCAAAATGATTAACAACCCCCATCTTTCTAGTGATTGGATAACTTCCTTGGCCTACCTTTGTTCCTCCCTCTTCCAAATGACAATCACTGAGCTACCCAATTACTAAACTGCCCCTGCTTCTCCTAGTCCCTCCTTGGAATCATTCAGCAGCCACCCAAAGCCCAAAGTGCATAGAGCCTTGCCCTGCTCCCTCTTACACACTTGGAACAACACACCTCCAAGCTGACCTTGTCCAGCTCAGTGCATCAGTAATTATGGTTACAGGCTTTGGAGTTGGACAGACTGGGAAACTCAAGCCTTGGCTCTCTGATCTTGAGTAAACTCCTTAATGTCTAGTCCCTGGTTTTCTCATCTGTAAAAATCAAGGTAGTGATAATAGTTCCCAAATGCGTGCTATATGTTGGCATAGTGCCTGGCAATAGTGTCTCTGACACAGTATCTGTTATATCATCATCATCAGTGTGAATACTCCCCTATTCCCTCAAGAGTGGGTTGATACTTGTCCTGTGTATGCTCCTAGCTCAAGTATTTCACCTTTTATAACACCTCTCACGCTATATTCTTTGCGACTTTCACAAAGCTGCTTCTTGAACTAAATCTTAAACTTGAAGGTGGAGACTTGGTGGTTATAGTCCCTAACTGGAGAATGCCCTGACGGGCAAAAAACGTTGCTGTACAAATGACCAATTTTGCTGGTTTCTGGGACCAGGACTTATGATGCCATTCTGAAAGTGTCACTGTTTGGATTGTTGTTTGGATTGCTGTAACATTTCTTATGAGTTAGACCAGACTTTCATGTGAGAGCAATAAAGTGAGAATGTCTTCTGTGAACATGCTCCTACTTTAAAAAGGATACAGATTTAGATTTTATTAAAAAATTTTTTTTCAGTGTTTATTTTTGAGAGAGAGAGAGAGAGAACGAGGGAGGGGCAGAGAGAAGGAGACACAGAATCAGAAGCAGACTCCAGGCTCTCAGTTGTCAGCCCAGAGCCCGACGTGGGGTTTGAACTCGTGAATTGCAAGATCATGACCTGGGCCGAAGTCAGATGCTTAACCGACTGAGCCAGGCAGGTGCCCCTAGATTTTATTTTATTATGATTTACAAATGAATGTAAATCTCCTTTTATAGGAGTTAGACATTTATCCTCAACAATTAACCACTGAATTCATTTTCATGAACAAGCTTGAATTGCTCAAATTAACTTCATTACAGAAGTTATTCTAAAAGCCAATTTCATTTCAAACTGTAGTTATGCTCATTTGAATTCAATAAATCATAAGATAAAAATAAAGTATGTAAAAATTTAGTTCAAAGGTACATTCTACTATAATATCCTGATAAATAGAACAAAGTTATCTTTATTCTGCAACATAACATGTATTTTTCTTGGTTCCTGATATGCAACATCTACTTATTCTCAGGTATGTACATTTCAGTTTATCCCCCCTCTATGGGAAAATGCCTAAATTTTAATTTTACATTGTCAGTAGAAAATAGATGATTATCTTCAAAAAGTTAAAGTTTTTTAACTTATGTAGATGATGTCATAGATACTGTTATTAGTACATATGAATCTTAGTTATTATAACATGACCAAAGAATGATCCATAAATGTATCTCACATTTATTGCAAGCATAAAGAGAGAGCAAGAAAAAGCAAGAATCGACTCTCTGAAAGCGAGGCTGGTACTCTTTCAATTAATTTGGTTTTTTCTTGCCCTCGTAGGACTGTGGTACGAGGATTCATGGAACGGTCAATGCAGAAATTCTCAGGAAAGAACATTTAATTTCTCACCTACTATTAATTTCAGTATGAGTCACCAGATTTATTCAGGGACATAGAATGGGATCTCAACTCCTCTCCAACCGTCATTGCTATACCAAGGGCTTTATATATTTTCCAGAGTATATATATGTTACCTAAGATAGCAAAATAAAATACTTGATGTATATTAACATGAAAAGTGCATGCAAATCTATATTTGTACAACTGATTGAAAGAGGAACAAACTATGCAGTGCTAGCGCTTATTACTCGATTCTTTCCTCTGGTGGTAGGTTCTAAGCAAAAAACTAATGGTGGTTTGAGAAAATGTGGTGGTGAGTCCATATCGGCACCCAGGACCCAAAGCAAAGTACTATTTCTGAAGAGTGGTTTAACTCAAAAAGCAAGAATCAAAATGTACGAAGGGACAGAAAGGGTCTTAGTCTCTTTGGGTTGTTTATTCCTCACAGTTCTAGAGGCTGGAAGGCCAAGATCAAGGTGCCAGCAGATTAAGTGTCTGGTGAGAACTTCCTTTACTGGCTCATTGGTGGCCATCTTCTTGCTGTATCCATCCTCACATGGCAGAAGGGGTGAGGGACCGCTCTGGGGTCTCTTTTATAAGGGCGCTAATCCCATCATGAGGCACCACCCGTATGACCTACTCACTTCCCTAAGGCCCCACCTCCTAACACCATCACGTTGGGGGTTAGGTGTCAACCTATGAATTTGGTGCAGGAGGGACATAAACATTCAGTTCCTAACAAGGATGCATTACTATTTATATGTAAAGAAGCCAGTATTGTTTAGATGTACTCATTATATGGTAAAATTAGAGCCTATTCGCTTAAAAAACAATGATATCCAAGTAAAATTTTATGGGAAAGAATTTAACCAATAAAGTTGAATCAAGAAGACAGTAAAATGTTAAGGAGAACACGTATCAAGTAAATAGTGTTGGTTCTTCTAGTGACACAGAAAAATACCTAAAATGATTACAATACTGTAATTTTGCTAACACACCAAAAGAAATGTGTCCCCCAGTGAGCAAGGGAAAGGTATCTTCCTAAACTTTTTTGAGGTGAATGCCTGCTTCAGAATAGGCAATTTTACCCTAATCCATGTAGGCTCACAGAGGAGAAAAGGGTTGGCAGTTTCCCCTACTGGTGATATCAGCAGATTGTGCACTAATTGGACAGAAAGAGGTGAGCTGAAGAGTGGGTGGTTTTTGTTTCCTGCTTTTCTAATAAATCCGTTACAAGTTTTCCAGTCACTTTCATGGTAAAGTCACTACATGGTAAAGGATGTCTCGCTAGTTTTACAGACATCTTACATATTGAAAAAAAAAAAAAACTAATAGGAAGAAAAAGGCATTCAATATTAATATTGTAAAGAAAGGGTTTTATTATAGTATTTAATGAAGATAAGCAGCAATGTTAATACAAAATTCTTTCTCAAGGACATTTTGCCCCTTGCTGTTTAGGAAGGTACAAGTAAAACACTTTTGGAGGCACAAAAGACACAAAGTTTCTTGTTAGGGTGTATCAGTAGCCCCGGAATCTGCAAGCCCCTTTGGAGCTCAGATGACTAAGGCACGGAGGAAAAGAAACACACCTCCCCAGGGCAGTTTCCATGTAACCTCTGCAGAGAAGGTGAGCAAGAATTGATCATGCAAACCAGGACATGGTTGAGAGTGAGAGGGTGCTGTTAATAATCACACCAAAACACCAGGTGCAGGTGAATCAGGAGTGGCAAGCTGGGACACACCCAATAAAGACATCCTCTGTAGCTCTAAGAAGTAAGGGCAAGTCGGGTATTGGCGCACTGGTTCTCACTCCAATTTGGAAGACTCACTGCAATAGAATTTTGCACAAAGACTTTGTGAGAGGCCTAGGAGGGAAGCCCTGTGCTCTAGAAAATGCATATCGTGTGTGTGTTTACCCTTTTAAAGATAACTATGGTTTGAACAGATCAATTAGATAGTTAACATAAACTTTTCCCCTCGCATTTATCTTTTTAAGAATTTTATTCATTTTCTTCCCAGAGAAGGCATGTACTCTAGAAGCAAATGCCTTCACCTCCTCCCTTTAAAAACAAAACAAAAAAATTATTTATTTATGTTTGTTTATTTATTTTTTAGAGAGAGAGGGAGAGAGACGATCTTAAGCGTGGCACAGGGCTCCATCTCACGAACCGTGAGGTCATGATGACCTGAGCTGAAATCAAGAGTCTGATGCTTAACGGACTGGGCCACCCAGGAGCGCCCCCTCCCTTTTTTAAGAGCAGATATCCGCCCCCCCTCCCCCCGAAACACATATACAACTCCAACCGTCTTTTTCCTCTACTGAATGTATTATTTATTTTTAACTGTGGTAAGATACACATAAAATTTAGCATCTTAAACTTTTTCAGTGTATAGTTTAGTAGTGTCAAGTCTACTCATCCAACCCTACCTTGCAGATCAGATGACTAGCATACTAATGAAAGAAAGACCACTAGTAAATTCAATATTGAGTTTGAACACAGGCTTATAGGCAACTAGAAACATTCCAAGGTATTTACAAGCAAAGGCAACAATGGCATGGATTCCCCCAAATATGTAGAATTCTCTAGATTTTAGCCTGTTAATTTTCTCTCCTTATTACTGTAGCAGAAGTCATTTAAACCATTATATTAACTGGGAGATTTATGTTGAGCACCTGCCTTGCACAGAACCTCAACTCATGAAATAAAGGTCAGGCAGTTCTCAAGGAAAGCCATGATAGTTCTGTCATTGTGGAAAATATTATATTCTATGAAACAGTGTACAAACAATGCAAAATAACACTATAAACTATAGACTATTATATTACTAGTCTTTTGAAAACGATGTCTGTAAATAAAGCATGAAAGAATTTTAAATTTTAGGAACTTCAAGCATTTTCTTTAAAATGCTCTGTATATGCTTTCTATATGATCAGGTCTTGAGGTAAAATATTTGATCTTCAGAAGTGCAAAAGGATTCCCTGTTATAAGTAAATTCTTATTTTCTTAGAACTACAAAATATTTTCTTCTATGTCATAAATTGATAGTAAGCATATCATGTACTAGGGATAACAACTAAAGATCAGGCAAATATACTTGTTGAGAAGGCTTTAGAAAAGAATATACATTCAGATTTTGAAATAAAATATCCCTAAAACCATGGCCAATGTTCAGCTAGCCAGGAAGTACCAGTTTGGGCGCTGGGACCATTTCTGAAAGACCTGCATTCTGGATGGTCAGTGTCTGCACCTTACCAGTGTTAAATATTTTGATTACCATCACTACTTACAACTCTATAGAGTTACTAATAAACATAAAAAGACAACTAATAAACATAAGACAACTCAGAAATATAGGACATAAAAAGACATTACTATTACCAACAGGTTGCTGAAGGACAAACTTGTGTCTCTTACTGCCACGTCAGTGTTAAACATCATTATCAGTAAAAGTTAAGAACTTCTTTACCAAAGAGCTTTCTTCAAAGACTGAAGGAGCACTGCCACACCAAGAAATGCGCATCTACAATTATTATTAAATGTAGGCGTTTAGAACAGTCCAATCAGCAATCTCTAAAAAGCTAGTATGTATTCATTAAAGCAAAGTACTGCCTAGATATGAATGTCTTAGGGAGTTGCTTGGCTAGTTGAAGGCTGGGGTTTCGCTTGTATATTCAGTACATAATCGTGACGGAAGGAAGAGCGGACAGTGCGATTCATTAGGGGCTGAAGGGGGCGGAAATTGTCCACCATTCTTTTCTCTTTCTCCCCCTCCGAAGTGAAGAGCAGGGTCCGAAACTGCTCAAGCTAGAAATAGAAGTAGGAAGCATAAATGATTTCAATGGCGTAACAGTTTAACTTCATGAATAAATTACTTTTATTTTTACAATTCCAAAACATTTGTCTAAAACTAGATACAGAACAACTTATTTCTGGTTAGGAATGCCTTCACTACTAGACAGGGAATAAAATGTATGAGGAGGAGGGTAACAGGAGGTGGTGAAGCCAGCAGGGTACTTGGGATCCAAAGACTGGGGGTCAAAGGCCCTGTCCCCCACACATTAGCCATTTGCCAAGGACAAGTTTTCATCTTTGATTCCAGGAACCTCATCTTTAAATGGGCAAAATAACTAGCCTACAGAATACTATAGGGAAGGCCTGATGTATACAGTAACAGTGCCAAAAATGTTTCATTTTTTTCAAAATGTAACTGAATCATTAATGTAAACAATGTCTTCTTCATTGCTCACTGTACCTGGGCATTGCAGGGGAAGGCAATGCATATGGATGTCTTCTTCTTTTTACATTTTTTTTTAAGTTTATTTATTTATTTTTGAGAGACAGCGAGCAGGGGAGGGGCAGAGAGAGGGAGAGAGAGAATCCCAAGCAGGTTCCGTGCTATCAGCACAGAGCCTGATGTGGAGCTCGAACTCACGAACCATGAGATCATGACCTGAGCCGAGACTAAGAGTTGTATGCTCAACCGACTGAGCCACCCAGGTGCCCGTAGTATGGATGTCTTCTTAACAGGCACTGGGATGCCCCCAGCCAGCACTGTCCAATAGAACTTTCTGTAATGACGGAAATGTCCTCTGCGTGATTCATTATCATAACCACTAGCCACATATGGCTACCGAGTGCTTGAAATGTGGCTAGTGTAACTAAGGAACTGGATTATTTACTTACTTATTTATTTATTGAAAGTTTATTCATTTATTTTTTAGGAATCTCTACACCCAACGTGGGGCTCAAACTCACAATCCCAAGATCAAGAGTCACATACTCTAATGACTGAGCCAGCCAGGTACCTTGGAACTGAATGTTTAATTTTTATTTTAATGTGTTTATATTTCAGTGTAAATGGCCATGTGCAGCTAGTGGCTCATGGACTGGACAATGGAGCTCAGTACAAAGAGGAGCAACCCCAAGTCAAAAGCTTGTTCTCTAATATGGCGATAGCATCATTCGCCCCCCTGGCTTTCCGAGCCACCTTATTATGGAACACTGGACTTCAAGCCCGCTGTAAAATCTTTTCACAACATTTCTCCTCAGTCAGTCAGGCACGCTGCAGCTATGGAGAGGACAGCCTGGGGCGCAGTAGGCAAGCATGTGAAGATGTGTTTCGATCAAAGACTTCAGGCCAAGTAGAGCTGCGGAGGCAGGATTGTGACTAGGGGCGAGTGGCAAACATAGGGACCGTATTTGCAAATTACGCATATACCCTCAGAAATTAAGAATGTGTCCAAGTACTTAAGATTTATTTTTATTCAACTAATTGCAAAAGATTAGAAATCGCTCAAGTATCAGTAAGTTACATTAGATCTATAAAATGGACTAGTACATAGCCATTAAAAGTGATATTGAAGATGTTTATTACCGATAAAATGTTTCACATATCACTGAGTGAAAAGAGGAACAAAATGGTATGTCCAGAATGATTCCATTTGGTGAATAAAATTATGTATATTTATATAGATAAAAGACTAAAAGGATTTATGTGTACGTGTATAGATATACAACCAGAAAGATTTACCCAAACAATGACTACCACTGATTATAGGTGACTAGGATTATAGATGACAGCTAACGTTTTTTTTCTTACTGAATTTTCTGTGTAGAGATTTCATTTGAAAACTCCTCACATGGGCCACTGACTCTCTGATTTATTTATTTTACTGACTTATTTTTCAGTGTTAGGTTGATTTTTGACGTTTATTTATTTTTGAGAGAGAGAGAGAGGGAGAGAGAGAATGAGTGGTGGAGGGGCAGAGAGAGAGGGAGACACAGAATCGGAAGCAGGTTCCAGGCTCTGAGCTGTCAGCACAGAGCCCGATGCGGGGCTCGAACTCACGAACCATGAGATCATGGCCTGAGCTGAAGTTGGACACTGAACCAGGGAAGCCAGCCAGGTGCCCCAGTGTTAGGTCAATTTTTAAATGTGAAGGATAAACGCAGACTAAACATATAGGTCACCAAGCCCAGGCTTATGAACAGGTAAGCTCTATGTTTTGTCATTTGTTTTTGGTGGCTTTTATCAGACAGATTTAAAAAAATTATGTGGTCTAATTTACTAGTTGGTTTCTTTAAGACTTCTGGTTTTGATATATAGTGAAAAAAGCTTCCTCCATTTGGAGGTATAAAAAGATTTTCCTACGCTTGTCCTAGCAGTGTTTTTAACATTTAATATATGTGGAATATATTCTTGCATAAGGTCTGCATGGTGGATCTAATTTTTCTCCCCCAAATGCCTGCCCAGTTGTCCTCGCATTAGCATTTACTGAAGAATCTCATCTTTTCTCCCCATTGAGATGAGATGCTACCTTTATCACAAACTAAATTCTCATATGTACTTAGACATATTTCTGAACTTACCGCTTTCTTCCCTCCAGTGATCTCTTTATTTGTGTGCCAGTACCATACTATTTAATTATTGTGACTTTATAAGTTTGTAGATCTAATCATCTCTCATTTTCTCTCTCAGAATTTTCCCTGGCTATTTATGCTTGTTCGTTTTGCCACATGATTTTAGAAGTAGCACATCTATCTAAAAATCCTATTGGCATAGTGAATGGACCACATCAAATTTATGGAGAATAAACAGTGGATAATAACGAGTCAGGGAGAATTGACATCTAAAGATATCTTTATGGTGTCTTCTGATTCAATAACATGGTATACATTTTATGAATTCTTCTTTTGTATCCTTCAGGGATATTTTAAGTTTACTTGTTAAATTTTCTTAAGCTTATTCCAAGGCATTTTATATTTTTGTTTCCATTATAAATAGGGTTCATTCTTCCATTATAACTTTATATCATTGCATCCTTTAACTGATTGTGATTTATATATAGTGATATATATATTTATATGTGCTTTAAATGTATTGATTTCTAGGGGCACCTGGGTGGCACAGTTTGTTAAACATCCAACTCTTGGGTCTCGGCTCAGGTCATGATCTCACAGTTTGTGAGTTCGAGCCCTACACTGGGCTCTGTGCTGACGGCATGGAGCCTGATTTGGATTCTGTCTCTCCTTCTCTCTGCCCCTCCCCAGCTTGTGTGCGCATGTTGTCTCTCAAATAAATTAAAAAAGCTTAAAAAATCAATGTAGTGATTTCTACAAATTAATGTTATACTCCACTAATTACTAAACTACCTTATTTTTAAAGTAGTTTTTATTGTTTCTCTTATTTTTTCTTTTCTGGTCTAATTGTATTGGCTACTTCCAGAACAACTTCCAAAGTGTATATGGTAACAATTCTTTCCACAGTAAACATACTATTTACTTTTGAAGTGAGATCCATGTCTTTTTTGCAAGTTAGGGAAATCTCCATTCATTTCTATTTTATTTAAAAATTTAAAAAACTGAATAGTACATTTTGCTAATGCCTTTTAACAATGTATGGAAATAATTACATGATTTTTCTATTAAGATTCACTGCTATGATGAAGTATGTTAATATCATTCCTAATAATGAACCATCCTTGCTTTACTAGAATATATACTACTTGGACAAAATGTGTATGTTTCTTCTAATGTACTGCTAGCTTCTGTTTTTCATGTATTACTTTTGCTTCCTTTAAAACATATTCTTCAGAGATATCACTCTTTAGTTTACTTTTAATTTTTAAAAATATTTAATGGGTGTTGGTATCAGTTATCTTGGCTTCATAAAAAAGGCTTTGGAAGCCTTTGCTCCTATAAAAATGCTTTGTAATTAATAAAAATCCCATAAAGCAAGCATATACAAGTACCATTATAGTTTAAATTATGAATTAAACAGGATTTTGTGCATTGAATTTAGTAATTAGTGGCAAGTAATTACCACTTACTTTTAAAAGAGAAACTTTTAAAAGAGAAACTTACTTTTAAAACTTACTTTTTAAAGAGAAAATAAACTCCAAGTTCAAAACAACTGACTTAAAATTTATGGACAGACACTGTTGGATTCTGTCTTTATCCTGAGGTTCCAGAGCAAAATTTCCTTAAGGATTTTTTTTTAAGTTTATTTATTTATTTTGAGAGAAAGTGCATGTAAGTGGGAAGGGACAGAGAGAGAGGGAGAGAGAAAGAATTCCAAGCAGGCTCTGCACTGTTACTGCAGAGCCAGATGTGGGGCTTGAACTCATGAACAGTGAGATCATGACCTGAGCCAAAATTAAGAGTTGGACACTCAATCGACTGAGCCACCCAGGCGCCCCTCCTTAAGGATTTTAAAGGGTTGTGAGCACACCCATCTCCAGTCTTCATTCTTCCCTTTAAAAGGGCCTTGTTTATATAGAGAGTCATATTTATATATAAAATACACAATACGTAAGACATAGGTCATTGCCAAATATGGAAGTAAAAAGCTTATGTGTCCTAAATTTTAACTGTTCTCTCTAGTTGGTTTGAAGAATTCCCCAATTTATATCCACATTTTGAGATAAGATGTTAGCGCATTTTAATAAAAATGTAGAAGCATTACAAGATGTTCAAAACCGATGCCAAAGTTTGAGCCCAGCCTTGTGTTAAAGGGGCAGACTAGCATGTCCTCAT